CTGCAGTGTAGATGGTGAAGAGGAACGGAGCCAGAACCGTTCCCTGTGGGGCCCCCGTACTGCAGACGACCCTGTCCGACACACAGCCCTGAGTCCTCACATACTGTGGTCGGTCGGTGAGGTAGTCCAAAATCCAGGTAGTGAGGTGATGGTCCACTCCAGAGTTCTCCAGCTTGTCCTTCAGAACCGAGGGAAGAATAGTGTTGAAGGCACTGGAGAAATCAAAGAACATGATTCTCACAGTGCTTCCAGCGGTCTCCAGGTGAGCGAGGGAACGATGTAGGAGGTGAATGACGGCATCATCCGCTCCAATGCCAGGCTGGTAGGCAAACTGAAGTGGGTCCAGTGATGAGCTTGTTAGGCGCCGAAGCTGAGCCAGGACCAACCGCTCCAGGGTCTTCATCAGGTGGGATGTCAGAGCCACCGGCCTGTAGCTGTTGAGGTCCTTGGGGCGTGAAGTCTTTGGCACTGGTACAACACAGGAGGTTTTCCAGAGCTGTGGGACTCTTCCCAACCTCAGGCTCAGGTTGAAGAGGTGCTCCATCACCCCACACAGTTGGTCCGCGCAGGACCTGACGACCCTCGAGCTGATGCCATCTGGGCCCGCTGCCTTCTTGCCATTAATCCTCCTCAGTTCCCTCCTAACCTGGGTGGTTGAGAGAGACAGGCTGGAGCCTTGTGTTGAGTGTGTATTGGATGCTGTTGTTGGGGGTGGGGAGGAGTGAGCAGGGTGAATAGAGGAGGTGTGAAGTGTCTGAGGTGTCAGAGGTGGAACAGCAGCAGTGGGGGTGGGTGAGTCTGCAGCCGATGTTGTAGACTGTCTCATGGTTGAATCAAATCTGTTGAAGAAATGATTCAGTTCATTTGCCCACCTCACATCCCTCCCAGGCAGAGAGTTCTGCTGTTTGTGGCCTGAGATGGTTCTGAGGCCTCTCCAGACTTCACCAACGTTGTTTTGCTGAAGCTGGTTCTCCATCTTCTGCCTGTAGCTGTCCTTCCTATTCCTTATCAGTCCCCTCAACTCTCTCTGCACCCTTTTCAACTCCTCTTTGTCTTTGGATTTGAAGGCCCTCCTCTTCTGCTTGAGGACAGCTTTAATTTCTGGGGTAATCCAAGGTTTGTTGTTGGAGAAACACCGTACAGTCCTGGTAGGTACGGTGTTATCCACACAGAAATTAATATAGTCAGTAATGCATGTAGTAAGGCTGTCGATGTCCTCTCCATGGTCGTCACAGATCACCTCCCACACAGTCGACTCAAAACAGTCCTTAAGAGCCTCCTCGCTCTCCTCTGACCATCTCTGCACTGTGCGGGTGGCTGGTGGCACCCTGCGCACTAAGGGCTCATACACAGGGACAAGGTGCACCAGGTTGTGGTCAGATTTGCCCAGTGGAGGGAGAGGTGATGAACTGTATGCCTCTTCAGCATTGGCATACAGTAAGTCCAGTGTTTTATTGTCTCTGGTTGAGCAGGTCACATACTGGGTGAAGGTGGGCAGTGTGGAGTCCAAAGAGGCATGATTGAAGTCCCCTGATATTATGAGAAGGGCTCTCGGAGATTGTGTTTGCAGTCTGCTGACCACTGAGTGGAGAGTGTCACAGGCTGCATCCGCGTTGGCCGATGCAGCCTAGTTTGTAAATTTGCCGGTAAAAGTTTAGTAAAAGCTTTATACAAAATTATGGATGTATTGTAATTAACCAGATCCTGGAATTTAAGTAACTTTGCCTGAAGAAAGAATTTGTGAGTATGATCTAGATAACCAGCCTTGTGAATAATACGCAGTGCTCGTTTCTGTACTGTGACTAATGGATTAGTTGTATTTTTATATGTGTTTCCCCACACTTCCACACAATATGTAAGATATGGAAGAACCAGAGTACAGTACAGAGTACGAAGTGCATCTTTATCAAGGTATGGTTTCACTTTGTTCAAAACTGCGAGGCTTCTGGAAATTTTGGTTTTTATGTGTCTGACGTGGGGTTTCCATGAAATTTTGTTATCAATTACGACTCCCAAAAATTTGTTTTCACTCACATTATCAATTGGTACACCTTCAATGATAATTGGTAATTCTACATTATATTTTAAATTACCAAAAAACATTGCTTTAGTTTTATTTATATTTAATGATAATTTATTTATGTCCATCCATTTTTTTTATTAATTTTAGCTCCCTGTTTACGGTCATTACAAGATCAGCATAATCATCGCTACTGAAAAATATGTTGGTGTCATCTGCGAACAGTATGAGTTTAAGTACTTGAGAAACATCAAAAATATCATTTATGTATACATTGAAAAGTTTTGGTCCCAACACTGACCCTTGGGGAACACCACATGTAATACCAAGCTTCTCTGAATGGTAATGCCCTATGCTAACATATTGTTCCCGACCCGTTAGGTAACTTTTTAACCAGTTACCAGCTTTCCCTCGAATACCATATCTTTCCAATTTATCCAATAATATTGAGTGATTGATTGTGTCAAAGGCCTTTTTGAGATCAACAAAAATACCAACTGCATATTTATTTTTATCCAGTGTATCAGTAATTTCTTCTACTGCCTCAATTATCGCCATTGAAGTGGTTCTTTGCGTTCTGAAACCATACTGACCAACATTTATTATTTGATGTTTTTCAAGGAATTTTTCTAATCTTGAATTAAAAAGTTTTTCTAGAATTTTTGAGAATTGAGGCAGTAGAGAAATAGGCCTATAATTGGTAAAACTGTGTTTGTCATTACTTTTATATAGTGGTATTACTTTCGCAATTTTCATTTTTTTTGGAAAACAACCGGACTGAAATGATAAATTACAGATATATGTTAAGGGACTAGCAATATTCAGAATAACCTGTTTAACTACAGACATATTTATGTCATGATAATCCATTGAAGACTTACTTTTACATTTTAATGTGATATTTATTACTTCTTGCTCATTTGTAGCTGAGAGGAACAGTGAAAAGGGATTTGATTTTATATTACTGATATTTTCATTTTTATGACACGGGATGTCTGCTGCTAGTTCAGGGCCAACATTTATGAAGAATTTATTGAACCCATCGACAATATTACTCATGTTGTGATTTTCACCATTTGCATCAGTAAAATATTCAGGATATGATGTTCCAGAAGATCCTTGTTTAATTAAGTTGTTTAACACATCCCAAGTTCCTTTTATATTGTTTTTATTTTCATATAATCTTCTTCTATAATAAAGTTGTTTGCTCGTTCTTATAATATCAGTCAATTTATTTCTATATGCTTTATATCTTTGTTCCACTTCTTTTGTTTTTACTTTGATAAACTGTTTATACAGATTGTTTTTCTTTTTGCAAGCATTAATAATTCCTTTTGTGAGCCAAGGACTTTTTATCTTTTTTTTCTTTGTCATGTGTTCGTTTACAGGACAATGTTTATTGTACCACATAGTAAAAATATCTAGGAAATTATCATAAGCCTTGTCCACATCTCACTCTTCATACACCGAACTCCAATCTTGTTGTGCTAAATCGAAATTGAAGGCATGAATTGCTTTTTCATTTATTGTTCGCTTTGCTATCATGATCTTGGTATCTATTTTTTTTAAATCACAGTCACACAAAGTAAAAACTGGTAAGTGGTCAGTTATATCACAGACAAGCAGGCCACTATTAATTTGGAAATCCATGACATTAGTAAAAATATTGTCAATAATAGTGGCGCTATGTGAAGTTATTCTGCTTGGCTTTGTTATTGTTGGATATAGTGATAAGCTGTACATCGTGTCAGTAAAGTCATCAATGGCTTTTAACCTTGTTGGATTTAGCAAATCAATATTAAAATCACCACAGATAAATAGTAATTTTTGGTTCACCGAAGCAAACGTTTTTTCTATCCATTCATTAAAAGTGTCAATACTTGAACTGGGTGTCCGATATATGCAACTTATTATAACATTTCTCTTTTTGTCATTCATAATCTCAATAGTCAAACATTCCAAAATTCCATCAATAGCCATAGACATAGTTGTTACAACATTATAGTTTATAGAGTTATGAACATATATAGCAACCCCGCCGCCCGCCTTATTTAATCTATTCATGTATTTTAAATCATATCCATTCAAACAAAAATCTATTCCTTTATCGACATTGAACCAAGTTTCAGTGATGGCTATAACACTAAAGGGGCGAGAAAATTGTTGTAAATAGTCCTTAATGAAATCAAAATTAGAGTACATACTTCTGTTGTTAAAGTGAATTAATGAGAGCTTCCCGTCTAGGTTAATTTCTTTTTCATATTGTTCCTGAGTGAAATAATTACAATTTTTAACAAAAGTAGAGAGAAAGTTACTTTCAGAATCTATTTCTGGATCTATTATATTATGCTCCTTATATTCACAATCTAGATCAATTACTTTCTGTTGAAGAATTGATTTCAACGTGTCCATGTCATTTCCTGGTGTAATTGATACATTGGTGTCAGTTATACTTATCCAGATCCTCCATGTTCCTCACTATCAGTACTTTTGCCTCTTCTGGTGTCCCGTTTAGCTTAATGAAAATCTTACAATTTGTTACCCATGTATATTGTATTTTACCGTTCTTCTTCAGTTGCCTTGCCTTCCTCGCGATGTCTGCGTTTTTTCGTGTCAGATGCTCATTAATGAAAACGTCCGTGCCTTTCAGTTTGCGTCCTTGTTTCAGCAGTGCGACCTTGTTCTTCCGATTGACAAATCTCATAATGACGGCCGGCGGTCTGTCACTCCTCCTGGGCAGTGAGTGACATGCTTCTATGTGCTCCAGGTCCATCTCTATCCCCTTGCTTTGGAGGAAGGACGCCACCTGTTGCTCCACCGAGCGGGTCTCCTCGTTGCTGGGCTCCCCGACGTTCCCGGCCACCGCGCGCGCGTAGGAGCGCGGCTTGATTTTAATACCGCTGATGACCACGTCGTTCGTACGGGTGTACTGCTCCAGCTCATCCACCCGCCGCTCGAGATCCATGATCCGTCTGTCCTTCTAGGCATTTTGGAGGCGTAGCTGTTTTACCTCCTCCAGAAGCCCCAGAAGCAGCTCCTGCTGCGCCCTGACTGCGGCCATGTCTCCGCACAGCGCTCCGAGGGAGGTTTTAATGTCCTCAACCTCCTCTGGTGTTGGGCCTTTCTTGGGTGGCATACTGAAGCGAGAGCACGAGGCGGCCACCACGAGGGACCCGGAAGCGGAATTTCTGATGATGGCGCCTGGCTAGGCCTGCTGGCTGATGGTGGAGCCTGGCTGGGCCTGCTGGCTGATGGTGGAGCCTGGCTGTGGCCTGCTGGCTGATGGTGGAGCCTGGCTGTGGCCTGCTGGCTGATGGTGGATCCTGGCTGTGGCCTGCTGGCTGATGGAGGAGCCTGGCTGTGGCCTGCTGACTGATGGAGGAGCCTGGCTGTGGCCTGCTGACTGATGGAGGAGCCTGGCTGGGCCTGCTGGCTGATGGAGGAGCCTGGCTGTGGCCTGCTGGCTGATGGTGGAGCCTGGCTGTGGCCTGCTGGCTGATGGTGGAGCCTGGCTGTGGCCTGCTGGCTGGGCCTGCTGGCTGATGGTGGAGCCTGGCTGTGGCCTGCTGGCTGGGCCTGCTGGCTGATGGTGGATCTTGGCTGTGGCCTGCTGGCTGATGGTGGAGCCTGGCTGTGGCCTGCAGAGCTATGGAGATGGTGGTGTCGATGGCACAAACAAAAGGCAGATGTCGCTGGATCAAATTTCCCCGGACAAGACACCATGAGTTCATGCCTGACTCTGAGCGTACAGTGTTAGAGGCGTGGCGATCAGACTTTAGCACCGTGGACCAAGAAGAACTTATAGACATACTTGATAACCACAGCTGCAGAAAGATACCAACAGCCTGCAATGCCACTGAAGTCCTATTGGAGCTTGCACACAAAACACTTGTCCAAGAGCCTGCCTACAGTGGGGCAAAAAAGTATTTAGTCAGCCACCGATTGTGCAAGTTCCCCCACTAAAATGATGACAGAGGTCAGTAATTTGCACCAGAGGTACACTTCAACTGTGAGAGACAGAATGTGAAAAAAAAAATCCATGAATCCACATGGTAGGATTTGTAAAGAATTTATTCATAAATCAGGGTGGAAAATAAGTATTTGGTCACCTCAAACAAGGAAAATCTCTGGCTCTCACAGACCTGTAACCTGACCTGTAAGTATTTGGTCAATAACAAAAATACAACTCAATACTTTGTAACATAACCTTTGTTGGCAATAACAGAGGTCAAACATTTACTATAGGTCTTTACCAGGTTTGCACACACAGTAGCTGGTATTTTGGCCCATTCCTCCATGCAGATCTTCTCGAGAGCAGTGATGTTTTGGGGCTGTCGCCGAGCAACACGGACTTTCAACTCCCGCCACAGATTTTCTATGGGGTTGAGGTCTGGAGACTGGCTAGGCCACTCCAGGACTTTCAAATGCTTCTTACGGAGCCACTCCTTTGTTGCCCGGGCGGTGTGTTTTGGATCATTGTCATGTTGGAAGACCCAGCCTCGTTTCATCTTCAAAGTTCTCACTGATGGAAGGAGGTTTTGGCTCACAATACATGGCCCCATTCATTCTGTCCTTAACACGGATCAGTCGTCCTGTCCCCTTGGCAGAAAAACAGCCCCATAGCATGATGTTTCCACCCCCATGCTTCACAGTAGGTATGGTGTTCTTGGGATGCAACTCAGTATTCTTCTTCCTCCAAACACGACGAGTTGAGTTTATACCAAAAAGTTCTACTTTGGTTTCATCTGACCACATGACATTCTCCCAATCCTCTGCTGTATCATCCATGTGCTCTCTGGCACACTTCAGACGGGCCTGGACATGCACTGGCTTCAGCAGCGGAACACGTCTGGCACTGCGGGATTTGATTCCCTGCCGTTGTAGTGTGTTACTGATGGTGACCTTTGTTACTTTGGTCCCAGCTCTCTGCAGGTCATTCACCAGGTCCCCCCGTGTGGTTCTGGGATCTTTGCTCACCGTTCTCATGATCATTTTGACCCCACGGGATGAGATCTTGCGTGGAGCCCCAGATCGAGTGAGATTATCAGTGGTCTTGTATGTCTTCCATTTTCTGATGATTGCTCCCACAGTTGATTTTTTCACACCAAGCTGCTTGCCTATTGTAGATTCACTCGTCCCACTCTGGTGCAGGTCTACAATACTTTTCCTGGTGTCCTTCGTAAGCTCTTTGGTCTTGGCCATGGCGGAGTTTGGAGTCTGACTGTTTGCGGCTGTGGACAGGTGTCTTTTATACAGATAATGAGTTCAAACAGGTGCCATTCATACAGGTAACGAGTGGGGGACAGAAAAGCTTCTTACAGAAGACGTTACAGGTCTGTGAGAGCCAGAGATTTTCCTTGTTTGAGGTGACCAAATACTTATTTTCCACCCTAATTTATGAATAAATTCTTTACAAATCCTACCATGTGAATTCATGGATTTTTTTTTCACATTCTGTCTCTCACAGTTGAAGTGTACCTCTGGTGCAAATTACTGACCTCTGTCATCATTTTAAGTGGGGGAACTTGCACAATCGGTGGCTGACTAAATACTTTTTTGCCCCACTGTATGTCTTTGTGCTCCCCTTTTCCCTGTTAATGCCCTATCGGCCCCCCTGGCTAAACTTTGCTAGATCCGCCCCTGCACAGTTACCAGCGTCAGCTACGTAAAAACAGATCCTGGTGTAGAACGTAATATTAAATAAATTCTAACAACAGCTTATCAAGCTTAAACGTGCTGCTGTTGTTTATCCACTGGTTTCCTCTTTCTGGTGCAAAGTGGGACAAAAACAAACAAGAGAGACGGACTCGCGACAGAAAAGCCGATCAGCTGATCATTAAGCAGTTTCGTGATTGAAGTAGCAGCAAGAAGAGGCAGTCGCCCCATATATCGTTTGTTAAGCTTAACACAGGAATGCTTTACAAACATTCAGAGATGGACTTACACACTTGCTTTACTTCTCTCGGGATAACTTTGTCGGCAGAGATGGGCAGTAACGCGTTACTTGTAACGCGTTACTGTAATCTGATTACTTTTTTCAAGTAACGAGTAAAGTAAGGGATTACTATTGCAAAATCGGTAATTAGATTACCGTTACTTTCCCGTAGGAACGCTGCGTTACTGCGTTACTAAAACCGTGATTTTTTTTTGCGAGAATGTCTCATGACAGTGACGTAAGCAAGTGCGACGTTGGTGACAGCAGCTGTGTGCAGATCAACAATGGATAATATATCGAGTGCGGGAGAGAGTATGAGCGTGCAGCGTTTAAAGTGTGGAAGTACTGACCTTACTTTGAGTTTGATTCCATAAAAAGTGACAAAAACATTAGCGTCCATCGTGCGTGGGAAGAAAACTTCTTTTTACAGCGAAAAAAACCCCTAAACTTCCGAGCAAGCACCGAGTAGCTACGACGTGATGGGAAACTCACAGAGACACTCGCGCGGATTCTTCAACTGACCGCAGCACACCTACACCAGGGTAACCCTCCGCCTACCCTGCTCCTGCTTTACAGGTGAAAATAGAGCAAAAGGACCGCTGAGTCTTTGACTTTATTTATTTTCTGCTGTGTTTTACTTGCATCTGTTTGAAAGAGTGAGTGAAAACACAAAAAATATTTTATTTTATGTGCTGGAATGTGTAGAAAATAGGTTAAAATGTTAAACTAATTTATTCAAGTCAGAGAATGTTGCATATAATTAAATGTTTTGCTTGATGCATAAAGTTAAAAGATTAAAACTGATAAAACAAGTTAAAAAAAGAGACTTTTCCATTTGATTACATTTTGTATGATGGATTATGTAGAAAAAGTAGAATTGGGCTGAAAGATCTATCACTTTATCACCTCTTCAGGTTGTAAATCGTGTTTTTAAAAAGTAACTAAGTAACTAAGTAACTAAGTAATTAATTACTTTTGAAAATAAGTAATCAGTAAAGTAACGGGATTACTTTTTTTGGGGGGAGTAATCAGTAATTAATTACTGATTACTTTTTTCAAGTAACTTGACCAACACTGTTTGTCGGAGATGAATTGCCGCGTTGCTAGCGAAGCTCCAAATGCTATCCAGACCACCGACAGGTCCCGCATGCCACAGCCGCTCTATCACGTGATGCATACTACTCCGACGTGCTAACGTTGTGAGGCGAGTTACGGCGTGTTGCAAGTTTTGTGAGGTGCTTTCGTGATATTTAATGGATCGGATTACATTTTTTATTTTTCTCCGATATCCGATCCAGTAATTTCGGTCAGTATCCCACCGATACCGATACGTAATATGATAAATATGATAAATGACCAGAATTGTAATATTTCTGACTGAGGCAAAACTTTCCAGATTCCAATCAAATTGAATCGGATCCTGTATCGAATCAAAAATGATTCTACAAATCAGTGACGATGCAGCCGTACTCAGCCCCCTAAACATTTTCCCTTTCCAGTTCACAATCAATCCTACCCCTAGGTCAAAAATATGTATAGGACAATTGGCCTAATCTAATATTTTGTATGAACCTGTCCAGCTGTCCAGTGATTGAATGACAAGTAGATGGAGGCAGGACTTCACAGCAGGGGCATACTCCATAATGTGGTGTGCATTATCATATGTATAATATATATATTTCTCACTTATTGTATTTACCAACATCAAGGAGTTATGAGCAAAGGAAGGCCACACCATAGTGCATGTTTAAATAGGGAAAGTTTATTCATCAAAATGTATTACGCAAATACACATTACATTTTTTTTCAGCCCCCCAATCGAGAAAACAAAACCAATTACATGTTCAAAGCAACGGAACGGTGGCCCAATATCAGAGAGAACTCCACTCTTGAGTGAGCAGTGATAATTGAGCAGTCCGTTTTATTTTGCAGATTCAAGCTGCTCTTCAAAATTTTCGCCACCAGATGTCACCGGAGAGGACTGTGTTGAAAAGCTTTGAGTAATGAACCGTTTTTCAATACAAGCTTCAGTGTTTCAGAAAGCTTCATTTGGCCATCACTAATAATAATTAACAAAACTTCAAACAAACATATGACAAACTGACCTGCTGAAATGACACACGGGGGAACTTAAATACTGGTTTAGCTAAACCAAATGACACACATGGGGGAAAACAAAATGGCTATAAGCAACTAATACAAAACAATTAAACAAACATGAAACACCCCCCAGGCAATGAAGCATGTGGTGCAATCCAATTAGGCTGTCAGTGGTACTTCAGGTCTCCCAGCCCTTTGCCACACCTTTTGCCAGACAGGAGGAGAAGCCAACCCCCAGGTAACTCAAACAAAGAAAGATGTATTAATATAACATAAAACAGAACTTTGACCTTGCAAGGTTAATATGTGTGCACGCCATATAAACATTGGAAGGTGTGATGGAAAAATAAATACATTTAATAAAGAAACAATATTGAACAATAAGTAGAATATTTTAAAGTAGTGACTGTAAATTAAATTAAGTGAATCAACGGGTGGTGAGGTGTGGAGCTTACCATGTGTGGCATGCCATCACACCTGATAAAGTGTGTTTCTGCCAAATGATGATGTTTGTGGTGAAAGTCAGTATTGCTTTTTACTAACTGTTCTGAAGACGTAGCAGGACGTGTCATTTGCAGGCCTGGCCACAAGAGGGTGGTCACAAACTTGGCTTAGTGCAGACAAACCAGTTATAACCAGTTCAGCCATATACTTCTTCTGGGTTAGGTTGATCAGGTTTAATGCTTATGTCCATGTGTGTTCACCGAGGGAGCTGTAAGGTACAATGTAGCATTGTACCTTACCAGAATATGTTAGTGTGCCTCAGTGAATTACACTTTTCCCACTCAAGTCCTGTGGAGTCATCTGAATAGGAAGAACATGATCCAGGCAGTCAACACCTATGCCGCACCATGACATTTACTACTGTCAGATAATGGAAGTGGCTGATATTGAAAAATACTACAAATTGCTGGATAAAGCTGGACTGAAAGACAACACAGAGGTACTAAGCTGGAAGCACAGAAACAAGCTCTAAGCACAAGATCCATAGAAGCTGGGCTCTTTCATACCAGGCAAGACCCCAGGTGCAGACTGTGCAAATATAGCTCTGAGACGATCCAGCACATAACAGCAGGGTGCAAGATGCTAGCACGCAGGGCATGCATGGAACGCCATAACCTTGTGGCCAGCATAGTATACAGAAACAATTAGGGCATGCATGGAACGCATAGAGGCTGAGTATGGCCTGGAAGTCAAAGGGTCAAAGGATACACTGAGAATGACCGAGCTAAGATCCAGTGGGGCTTCCAGACAAACTAGCGATGGCCAAACTACTGGAATAGTAGTGTTGGGCAAGCAGAGGAAGTCAGCTAGATGTAACATTAGCAAGTGATAGCAACATCAGGAAGAAGAAACATCAGAAACTCAAGAAAATTCAAGAGCTGAGAGAGGAGCTAGAGAAGATATGGAGGGTGAAGGTAACAGAGCCCCCCGCCCAGGAGAAATAAAGATACTGCACAGGCCCCTCAAGCTCCAAGGCCTCTGGTAGAGGACAAATGCATGAAGGATAAGAGACCATCTGAAGGGGTGAGTGGGGAATTATACATACACACACACACACACACACACACACACACACACACACACACACACACACACACACACACACACACACACACACACACACACACACACACACACATTTCTCACTAATTCCCTAGATCTAGATTACTAAACTAGTAATCTGGCATACTGGGTGCCCGATGCCTGATGGACTGACACACGTGTGGGCTGATGGGTATATATATAATGTTTTAAATATAATTTGATATAGGGGCAGCATGGTGGCACGGTAATTAGCACTGTTGCCTCACAGCCTGAGTTCAATTCCCCCATCAGGCCAGGGTCTTTCTGTGTGGAGTTTGGATGTTCTCACGGTGTTTGTGTGGCTTCTCCCAGGTACTCCCACACTCCAAAGACATGCAGTTAGTGTAGATGGGTTAATTGGAAACACTAAATTGCCCACAGGTGTGAATGTGGTAGTGAATGTGAGTGCGACTGGTTGTCTCCTGTTTATATGTTAGCTCTGTGACAGACTGGCAACCTGTCCAGGGTGTACCTTGCCTCTTGCCCTAAGACAGCTGGGATAGGCTCCAGCGCCCCCCACGGCCCTAAAAAGGATAAGTGGAAATGAATGGATGGATAATTTTATATAATTATATAGGCTATGTGCCAGCTTGAAGGGCTGTTGTGCACCAGCACTGACAGCAACCCGTTCTTTACTTTTCATTAGTAATGCTGAATTGCCCAACCAAATCACTTAAAGCAACCAGCCCCATCCCTACCGTTCTTTTCAGAGAGAAAAAAATAAAGTAAAAATAGATACAGCAAAGTCCTCACTGTTGGTAGCATCAACTATAGAGAAGTGCATGATAAGGGACAGCAGAAAACAACCCACAAGCACAGGTGCATATTAGATTTATCAAAGTAGTAGTAGTAAAAAGAACTTCGCACCACCTTAAGGTAAGGGTAAATTTAGTTTTATTTCCAAAATATATATAAGTTCAGTGGTTCTTCCTATTACAAAAATATAAATGACAATAAAATCAGTTTTGCAAGGCTGCTTTTCTAATAACTGAAAGAAAACACAACATAACGTACCTATACCTACCTAACTGTTAATGAAAAGTATTTATTTTTTCCGAGCAAACATTTGGAATTTCTTTATTAGTACTGCTAACTTAACAGGTCAGGCTTAGTAGATTACAGATAGATTAAAAACATTAAGAATAATGTACAAACCTTCATTTTTATTTTAAGGTTTTGATTAAAAGCATTTGCTAAAAGCAAAACAGTAAATAAGCACAAAAGGGTATTAGCGCAAGTATACTGACACACATGGCCTACATATTACACAAGGGAATACTTACTTCTGAATAGTTTTGTAAGATCTATGAAATAATGTAGCATTAGAATAAAACCTACATGTAGTATGCAGAGGCTGGGTAGAGCAAATAGGGACTGAGTTTACGATCTTCTGATGGAAAGGTGCTGTTCTCATGAGCCTGACGACGGTAGTACCTGCGGAGAGCAGGGCTGCCAGGGTGGCATTGTCTCACATGGAGGAAGTACTCATCAGGCCGGCTTGATGTATAACCACAATCCTCACATACAAAGATCTTGGAGCGTCTCTGGCGGTAAGCATACTGCTGATGTACGCCATGAATCTTTCTCATATGCGACTCCAGAGAGCAACGCTGTGTGAAAGCTTTCTCACACAGCTCACACTTGTAGGGACGGATACCTGTAGCAGTGAGAGACAAAAGACAGTTTCTCCTTTAAGCTTTCCACCAAGGCTGACATTGTCAGAGAGCTCATGTAATGACTGAACGCAGATTTTCCATTTATTTAAATTTTTTGTTGTTGATTTCCGTTAATGCCAGTCACTTTAAAGTTACTGTAAATCCCACAAAGGAATTCTTGGAGATTTCAACCAATTGTAAAAAGCTTGGAAAGAAAGTGACTGGACTTCTTAAAGTTTTTTTTAAGACGTTTCATCTGTCATCCACAAAGCTTCTTTAGGTTTAAAACCAAATGATGGAGACTCCCAGGTATTTAAACCCTAGCGCAGGGGTGGGGAACTCCAGGCCTCAAGGGCCGGTGTCCTGCAGGTTTTAGATGTGTCCTTGAACCAACACAGCTAATTTAAATGGATGAGAGGTGAACGGTCTTTAAAAATCTTGAAGATGTTCAGTCACTTTTCTTTCCAAGCTTCTTAGATTACCATGAACTGGATGACTAAGAACCTACATTTCAATCAAGTGCAACTAATGATACACAGCAAACCCATTAATCCCTTAATTATATTATCAATAACATATATAATAAAATGTACTCCCTTGTAATAAAATTGATTGTGATTCTTTTAACCCTTCTTTGGCCCTGGGACCATTTTTGGTCCCTTTAGTTTTTCAGTTACAAGCCATTTGCACTGTGTTGAATGGAATATAGCCAAATTCTCTAAAAAAAAGTTTGGCATAATTTCATTTCAAAATTCAAGTCTGACTTCCTTAAATTAGCTTCAGTGGCTAAGCTAACAATACACATCCTCTTAGAGCCCTAGGGACCATTTTTGGCCCATTGACTTCCATTATAAACGCTATTTTTCACTGCAGAATTATTACCGTTAATGTCTTGGTGATTACTTATGTCTCCGTCTCGTTTTGGTCTATGAGCCTTAGAGTTGTAATTTTTTTATTTGTCCACCGGGTGGCGCCCTTGCTCCACATTTGATCCCTGCTGGAAAACAGCGGGCTGCTTGGACAGACCTGCGGGAAACGAAGCCTCATTTCCGGCGTGCAGCAGCGGCTTCGCCCGCTGATCGGGCGGGACCATTTTTCGGTCCCTAGGACCGTTAGAGGGTGCTTTTTTTTTTTTAGTCAACAGGAAATTACGTATTTGTTGTCACGTGGTATCAGACGTGTGGGCTGGAAAAAGCAGTCCCCGGTGATCGTCGCGACTTACCCCGGCAACATGCACTTATTTCGGCCTAGAGGAGGAGCATTTGCCGCCTGGAGACCATTTTCTGGTCCTGAAAAAAATAAATAAAAGGCGATCGAAATGACTGTTGGTGCCAATCTTTAGTCCATCTAAAGGCCTAATTATAATAACAATTGAATATTACCTCAAATGTTTTTTTTGGAAAATATTCAAGTTTTATGTTTTTTGGGGCAAAAAAGCAGTGCGCTCATGTGACGAAACCGGGATATAAAGGGTTAAAATCCGCGAAATGTAATTAAAACTTGACATGAATATTTCAAGGAGAAGTAGGTCTAAAAGATTGGCTAATTTAAAGTGGAATAAAATATTAATATATAAATTTTTTATAGCACTTTTTTGGGCGTGGTCGATTAGGACCGATAGTGTGTGCATTTTATGAAATGCGCTCCTGCAAAAAAAATAAAAGGCGATCGAAATGACTGTTGGTGCCAATCTTTGGTCCATCTAAAGGCCTAATTATAATAACAAACAAATATTACTTCAAATGTTTTTTTTGGAAAATATTTAGTTTTTTTTTTTGGGGCTAAAAAAACAGGGCGCTCATGTAATAAAACTGGGATTTAAAGGGTTAAAACAATGAAAATATAATTAAAACTTTATATGAATATTTCAGGGAGAAGTAGTTTTAAAAGACTGACCAATTTAAAGTGGAAAAAAATATGAATATATAATCTTTTTATTGCACTTTTGGGGCGGGACCATTTTTGGTCCCCAGGGCTCTAAAGGGATGCATTTTTAAGGGTCAGCGAAGGGTTTTAATTTGATAAAGATTAGTGGATTCAACAAAATACATTTAGAACATTCCTAACCTGTGTGTGTTCGCATATGTCTCTTTAGGTCGAAGGTATCATTGAATCCTTTGCCACAGAACCGACAAGGATGCCTCTTCACCAAGCTGTGGCACTTCAAGTGGCGGGTTAACATGCGTTGTAGAGGGAAGATCTTGTGGCACACTGAGCAAACAAAGTCACCTGAGACAGGGGAAGTACGGGGACGTGGCTGATGGGAAGAGAACTACTGAATAAATATGACAAAACTTCACTGTAACAATCATCTTTTCTCTGCTCTGTTTAGCTTACAAGTAACAGTATCTTATCTATTTGCATGATTGGACAGGGAACTCAAATGTCATTCCTTGAATCTGCTGGAGCCACTTGCCCAGTTTGAGGGTCACCACTCCGATTACCACTGTTGCCTATATATATGGAAAAATGAATTCTGCTGTCTACCAAAACATCCTGACGGAGAATGTCTGGTCATCTGTTCATCACCTCAAGCTGAAGCCCCCTTAGGTTCCTGACCTGAGATTCTGTGGCATGACCTTAATAAGGTGGTTCATGCTCAAAAACCCTCTAATACAGTGGTTTCCAAACTTTTTTTGCTAGGCCCCCTTTGTTTTACAAGAAAAATGTTCGCGCCCCCCACCATGTGCCTTTTTTCACGTCACGCTGTGTGACACATTATTGTTTACATGAGATGAATTGCAGAATGGCGGATAGAGACAAAATACTGTTAATCTTACCATCTTCAGGTTTTACACGCTTGCATATACACACGTAGTTACTGTCCCTCCATTTAGAAAGGCAGAGGCGTCACAGTGTAATTATTTTACGTGTAGTTGTTTTTTTCCTGTGTAATATTCAACATTGCTATTAATACATTTTTCAAAAAATGCCTCTCTGTGCAAAATGGGTTCAAAAACATAAACAACTGTGGGATCCTGTTTGTCTGTGGTTTGGACAAGGGGAACAAATTGTGGCAGGATCAGCCTGATGTTATTTGTATCTCACTGTAACTTTAATGTATAAAGAACTAACATCTCCAAAATGTCAGGAATAGTTAGTCATTACAAGAAGTGTTTGTGAACTAAAAATCAAGAATGTGGGATTCTGTTTGTCCGTGATTTGGAGAGCCCAGCGCGTGCTCTCAACGCAGGGAAAACCAAGGCAGGGTAGACCTACCTTGGCACTTGTGTAGGTGAAACCAAAAGGAAGATATGCTTCACCATATTTTCTAGTCTTTGACTTGGAAGGATATTGGTTTGGAAACATATTTGGTGTTTTGGAGGAAGGAAGGTTCAGAGTTTAAGTAGTCATCATCATGGGCTCATCCGATTAGAATGAGAATAAGCAGTCAATCATTTACAGGTTTTGTCATTTTATTGAATTATGGTTAAAGGAAGGAAAGACACACATGGCCGGCTATCTCTCAGCTGCCGCCGCATGTGGGAGTGAAGAAAGAGTGAGGGGTAGGTGAGTGCAGTCCTTATATAACGAGTGACAGGTGAGCGCAATTAAGGCCAAGCACCACACCCAATCAAAGGTGAGGAAAAGAAACAAGGTGCATCTGGTGAAGTGAATGTGCTAAAAGGTGAGCCTTTACAACATTTGGCGATGCTTCATATCCTGCTTTGCGTTTGTGTGTGTATATTATGAACTCAATCAATCAAAAAAAAAAAGTAGTTATGGTTGTATTGAACTGAACTGATTTCCCAAGCACAGTGCATCTACCCCCCCCCCCCCCCCCCCCCCCCCCCCCCCCCCCCCCCCCCCCCCCCCCCCCCCCCCCCCCCCCCCCCCAAACATACAAAGTTGTGATGAAAGCCACATATATATATCAAGTGGAAGAGAAAAAAATTACCCAGAGAATGTAATATAGGATATTACCCTTTCACTGATTACTGATTGAATTCACTACCATCTCATGCTTTTGAACTGTAAGCTCCAACAAACACCTCTGTTAACTCTGTGTCTTACATCACAAAAAATGTCAGTCTGATGATGCATATATTCCAAAGGCAGTCGTCTGTGGTCCTGCCTAAGGTCATGTCCTAAGAATCCTTGCCCAAATTTCTAACCTCCTACTAGTCCACCACTAGTCCAACAGTCACATGATGCTAATAACTATGCACTAAACACTGGGTTAGTTGTTCACATTAAAGGAGTGATATTGTATTTTGGCAAGAAAACCTTTCTCACCTTTGCTCTGCTGACCAGTGCCATTGTACTGGGATGGTAGGAGCCCCGGAGCATCACAGTAGACCAGTCCGGCCTGGTATCAGCTCTTGGTCCTCCCAGTCCTGCTAAAGGTACTGGCACTATAATTCCTCTTGTTGCATCACGTCCTGAGGGGATTACTGGCTGAGGCATGGCGGCAGGCTCTTGGGTGCCAGGACTGCAGGATATCTGTTTTTCAATATTTTCACTCACTATGTAGTTAGATAGATAGACAGATAGGTAGATTACATGACTAAATTACGACATTGAAGTAAATTACTGTGATACAGACTAATTGTTACGGCTTTAACATTTTGACAGCAGAAATTAAACTTGAAGCCACTTGAAATTCATACCTTGTGGATTTTCTTCTTTCCACTCATGTTGTTCTGATTCTTTCCACTGCCATGCTCCACATGGCCCACGTTTCTTTTTCACAAGGAAAGACCTTGGCATCCTTTAAATCTGTCACTTCTTGGTTTTCTTCTATTTCCTGACCTCTCTCTTATTTAAACGTTGCCCCCTGATCCTGTCACAGTGCTAAGAGATTTAATTTGCTAATGTCCAGTGTTCTGCTCTTACAAGTGCAACCATCTCCTTTGACAGTCAGCAAGTAGAGTGTCCTAGTAAAATCACAGCACTCATTTTCATAACACTCTCTGGAAAGGATGGTGAATGTTTTAGCTCTGGTAAAGGATGGGCGGTTGGAGCGTCACTCTTAGCAGGAGTACACCTGTGCTGATTGTGCGTGTGTGCCATTTTAACTGGTCCTCCACCAGTTTTGCATGTCAGGTAGTGAGAATCCGGGGAGCTTCACATTCAAGTGGCCCTTGGCATGCAAATTTTTGGATCTGGACCAAGCCCTGGCCCCAGACAAAGGGCATGGCCTAAGTAACAGGAGCAAGCACAGTGGAGCCACAGCCTTAACTGCTAGGTAAATCAGCCCTTTCTCTTTTTTATGGCTTTTCTGTTGCAGTTGTTTGAAGGAATTATAGAGCTTCTTTGAACGCATACAAAGGACATTCATACTCAATAAAAAAGATGGCAAGCACTTGCAGTCTATTGACTGAATTGTTTACATAATTGCATATATGATGGCACCTTTTGTGTTGTCCCCTGGTACTTGCACAGTGAATATAGGAATAATTTACACCCTCTGTAGCACTGAACAGAAAAGCATTATATGGAAATATATGACAGTGAAAAAAGTATCCAGTATCCAGAAGTCTGTTAGATACTGATTAGGCAACATGAACATATAGAAAAGATTTTCCCTCAGTCTTGTGAGAACTGTAACAACAATTAATTTTGCTGATTTACAATCCCCCTTTGCTGCAGATAAACAAATGGACCCAAATTATGCCAGAACCACTAGAAGGTAAAGAAGCAAACTGCCCACTCTTGTCCAATTGTCTGCAGTTGGTGTATGTTTAACAGGAAAATGAACTGCATGTATCTTATTTCACTGGGCGTGCATAACAAATTCAAACAGTCTGAGTGTAAGTCAGAGTCTAAACCTCATCATGCAAATCTCAGTAGAGGTCACTCCAAGACCATCAGGAGGATCATGTAGTATAAACTGTACAGTAGTACAAACACAGATCTGCTCTACCTATCTGCTACATTTATGTGCTGTAAGTCCCATATTTTAACTGCTTACTAAGCATTTATATTGTAGATATTGGTCATTGAATATGAGGGTTCAGAAAGTGATGAATGTAATGCAAATCTGGAAAACACAACTGCAAAGTCTGTATTTATTTCACTTTATAAAGGAGGATAAGCATATATTGTCCTACTTTACTCAAGATATTAATTTGTGTAAGTAAAATATCTTCAGACAGACTAATTGAATTCAGATTTTGATAATAAATCTTTTGCTGTGTAATGTTAGTGTTTGTATTGTTAGTGTATTGTTGTATTGTTAGTGTTTCCTAAATGTGCTTTAAGGCTATTGACTATACTGTGAGGTTCCCTTCTGAAGCTGCACTCTAACTGTATGCAAAGCACATGCCTGTGTGCAGCAGCATGAAAATTAAATGGTAACAAGGCAGCTCCACATTATTTTGCAGTAAACAAAAAACTGTCCGTTTGAATAATATCTAATACCTATCACTCTGTCTACTCACTGACGTGTCAGTATAGTACAGAGTGAAAGAAAAAGCCACAGATTAAGATATTCAAACACAGCCTTCCTCAGAGGATAGTCACTGTTGCAAGTTTTGACAAATGCATATTAAACTTGAAAACATTTGAAGATTAAAAAAGGTAACCTTCATGTCAGTAACAAGAGGAGACTTGATAGCTTTCTTTCTTTCTTTACATTTAGGTGAACGGCTTGTCTGAACTTGAACATGAATGTAAAAGAGACTGAGTTTAGCTGTTCATGTGTGTCATGGTTAGCCACGCCCTTGTTTTCTTTTTCAGTTGGATGTAAAAGTGTGCTTGTGCATTTGTCTGTTGATTGATAGCAACTAATCTTTAGTAACTGAAACCACAATTTAGAGTTAGGAACATTTTATCAGCTGACATTAATGCATTGTATGAGGTACAAGGCTGCATAATTACTTCCCCAGGCTTTATATTACCTTTCACTGTATATGTATTGTGTCATAAGAGCTTTTTTAGTTTAGCCATTCAGTTAGTTTTGGACAGTTTCTCATATAGTGCTGCATATTGTATATACTCTCTCTCTCTCTCTCGATCGCTCCAACAAACATATCGATTCAAACTGACAATAACTGAGCTACAGTTCATTTGTCATTTGTTTGTCACTGTGAAATTTATATTTTACAACAATTTCATTCATTTGCAAATTTTTTAAATGTAAAAAAAAAAAGCTGTAACAATGTTTAAAAATCATACATTGTCTTTTCTGGTTATGTTATGACATCTTACCTTAAGAAAATGAAACATCTTGCATTCCTCTTTAATCAAAATTTGAGTCAAATCACAAATATCGATCCATATGATTATGTCAAGGCCTAGCGCTGTCTAGTCTTCCTGCTTGAGACTCTTTCATGGATGTCTGCCACTATGATGGTCCCTGGATCTTGTTCAGGGAGGTTATTGTGGTCTGCTCTTAGATCCACTAACCACTGAGCAATGTTTCATCCTTTTCCCATATTCTCTTCCAGTATTGCTCTTTCTCCAGCCTTGGCAGGGCTGTTCTAATTTCTAAGGCCACAGATACGGACTGCTTATTGTACTTCTTAAGCATCCCTTTCTTCATCACATCTTTTAACAGCTCTGGCAGTTAGTTGGCTGTCCTTTGTTCTGCCTTTATCTTGGCCTCTAGTTTCCTTCACCATAGAGGGTACTGCTTCTTGTGGCTGTTATCTTTTCAGTTGGTTGGTTTCAGTAACAGTAGCCGTAAGGATTGGACATAAATACTGCATTCACATCTTCTAGTTACTGCTGAAATCTCAATTTACAAAGAACCCAGAGTGGAGAACAAGTAAGATCAAATTTAATTGCTGACTATATTATGATTTTTAAAAGACAAATTAGTTGATTTAAGAAATTTTAAATGACTGTGTTTGGTAAGAGGGTCTGCAAATCAGGGATTATTTCTGTAAACACACTTGGTTTTGGCCTTGGTGTTGATCACCTAGTGCAGTGGTGTCCAAACCCAGTCCTCGAGAGCCGGTGTCCTGCAGGTTTTAGATGTGTCCTTGACAGTGTTGGGTAAGTTACTTTAAATGAGTAACTTAGTTACATTACTACTTACTTCTATCAAAAGTAACTCAGTTACTTCAAGTTACTCATTACTTTCAAAGTAACTAGTTACTAGGAAAAGTAACTTTGGTTTTACTCTGAATTCTCTTGTTAATGTGTTGCTTCTGTAACTGGATACCCAGCAAGACTGCCAGTCTTCTAGCTTGCTTACTTGCCACAAGTGCACTGTGCCACCTACTAATAGAAAGGAAAAAATAATGTGCATATTTCCACGAGAGAAATTCCACACCTGGACTGTCGTTGACCGCTGCCATGATTCGAGCCTACATCACAGCGTCATGTGCGCTTTTTACATCCAACACAAAAACTGCAGTCGTGGTGCTTTCGATTGTACTCAGAACTCGGAAATTCTGCCTTCCGAATAGGAAGATGTAGGTAACACCAGACTGCAGATGAGCTGCATACAGGGCTGGACTGGGACAAAAAAATCGGCCCAGGCAGTTTGACTAGAGAGCAGCCCGCCATTATAGGAAAAAGCCTTTGAATGAAAACAATCGCTGTTGTGACAGTGATGTACACTGTTCTGATGGTGTATATGCATCAATCTATCAATCGTTTGTTGTAAGACTCAGATAATTATTTTTTAAAAGCTAGATATTTTAAATGAGAATAAGAAAGAAAAGTACTTCTTTGTGCCCCCCTCTCCCTGTTAATGCCCTACCTGGCCCCCTGGCAAAACTTTGCTAGGTCCGACCCTGCACAGTTACCAGCTGTCAGCTACGTAAAAAAATTATTATGGTGTTATTTGTCTCTCAGAAACGGTTTATAACTTCCCTTCAACTCATTCAAGTCACCTAAAAAGTAAACCTGTTTCTCCATCACCTGTTGAGCTCTGATGACTCAGTAAGAACATCTCCTGGTTTCATCTTCATGTTTCCCTCTCACCAGATAACCAAACCGATATCATGACCAGCAGCTTTTACGGCTGTGGCTCCAGCAAACATCAGCTGATACTGGAAGGTAATATTAAATAAATTCTAACAACAGCTGATCAAGCTTAAACGTGCTGCTGTTGTTTAACGCGACCTCCGCTGGTTTCTTGTTTCTGGCACAAAGTGGGTGATAAACAAACAAGAGAGACGGGAGTTGCGACATAAAAGCCGATCAGCTGGTCATTGATCAGTTTCATGATTGAAGTAGAAACAGTTAGTTTCTCTTTGTGTTTTTCTACCCCTGTATTTAAGTTCCCTCACCCTTTGTGTTCCATGCTGCGTGTCTTATGTTATCAAGTTTGTATTATCGTGTCTGTCACATTAACCTAACCCAGGTTTTATGGACTGCCTGCCTGCAGACTTAAAGAACTTTGCTACAGCCACTATCTCCTCTGCCTCACCATCATCGTCAGAGCAGCAGCTGCCCAGTGTGCAGGCTGAATCACCCCAGCCTGTCATGGTCCTGGGCCATGTTGGCCCAGTATTCTTAGTTTTTGTGTGTTTTGTATTTTGTTCCCTATTTATGCCTTGGTTCCTAGGTTATTCAGTTAAGATGTTCCTTATTTGGTTACCTCCTGTGTGCCCTTGTGTATCTGTGAGCCCTCGTCTTTCCTTGTGTTTTATTCCATGTTTTCCCCAGCCCATTATGCCTGTGTTCTCCCCGTGCTCTCTCTCCTCCTGTCTGAACCTCTGTGTACTTCCTGTTTTACTTTACAGTCTCTCGTCAGTATGCGTCATGCTGTGTTCACTCCTGCCCTGTCTCGTTATGATTATCTGTGTCAGCTGTGTTCCCTGTGTGCTCCCACTTCCCTCGTTAGCCCTCTGTGTATTTATGTGTATGTCTCCATCAGTTCAGTGTCGCGTGGTCAGTGTCTCCTCCCCGAACCTCTGTGTCTTTCTGTGTTCCCTCGGTCTTCTGTTAGTATTCCCAGTTTAGTTCTGTTTCGTTTTAAGGCCTGCAATAAAGCAGTGATTTTGAGTTCAGTTCCTGTCTCCGTGAGTTTTGCGTTTGGGTCCTCATCTGCCTCCACACAGCCAGTTCATGACACAGCCCTGTGGTGATGCAGCTCTTTCTTCGCCGGCTACGGGAGTACGAGTCGGCTTATCCAGTCTCTCACCTGTGTCCATGCCTGTGTCACCACTGCAGCAGACAAGTGCTGCATTTTCTTCACCTCAACCGGTGGCTGCTTCCAGCACTACATTCATCTCAGCCGTAGCGGCACCGGCCTCCACAACCACGGCTTCCAGGAGGAGGCGGCGTCCAAGTCGTCACCACGGCTCACAGCAGCATGAGTTGGGAGATTATATTCTGAATCCACGTGTGTTTTTTAAGGAGAACAAACACTGCCTTAAAGGTTCATGGGCATGTTTAAAGGTTCATGGGCATGTTTATGAAATGACTGAAAAATCACCAGCCAAGTCTTCCACAGAACATCTTATCCCTCTGCACAATTACCTAGCATCCTTGTGTATTGATCATGCTACGCCCCCCGAACTAATAAACTGTGGACTTTTGTGCAGTCACCCTCCAGGTCGACCCCCTGATCCGCCTGACTGCGGACTCCTATGCCCTTGTGTTTGGACTGAGTGCTTCGGATTCCTTGTTTTTTGTGGTTTTGTTTCAGTTCTGAAACATGAATCAGTTCTGATGGACACGCATGGCCAGCTGTGCAGAAACCTCTGGAAGAGACTGAGCAGGGCCAGCAGGTGTGGAAACCTCTTGCTGTTGTTGAAGCTCAGGTTGAGGACTGGGCTTTGTGTCCCTTGGAACTGGAACAGGTGGTGGAATTGGCCGAACCCTAGTCGTCCCCACCCGAGGAACAGATACAGGTGCGGGGACTGGTTGGATCCTGGCTACCCTCAGCCGTGGTGCAGGGACAGGTGCAGGAGGAAACATACACCACGCATTTTAGTCACATGATGCAGTCATGTGACCAATTCAACTAAGATGGCAGACGGCACTGTATAGCTATTGTTTTGTTTGCTCTCAATTTTGACTGCCCTATTAAAGATTAATATCAGCTTTTACATGCTCTAGATAGCTCGCTTGCTTTTGCAACTTTCACTCTTGTGTTACTTGCAGCAACAACTCCACCTCATTGTCAGTCCATTTAAAAAACTCTGTGCTTTTCCTCGACAAAGTTTCAAATAGCTGGAAAGTAAATAAACAGCAGACAGAAATGACGCAGGTTCACCCGAGGAACAGGAACAGGTGAAGAGGGAGGCAGGGTCCGAGCCACCCTGTGAGCAGGAACTGGCTGACAGAGAGGTGTTGTTATAGTGACAGCAATGTCACAGGTGTGAATGTCCTAAATAGGAGCCTGAGATGGCAGAACAGTTTTTTGGGATTCAGGCTGATAAAAAACAGTCTTAAGTTTTGACAGGCTATCGGTGTGTTGAAGAGTCACTGGATTATTAGCAGAAGAAACAGGAGTCTTTTTGTGATGAGCAGGATTAAAAAAACTCAGTTTCACTCAACACCGGTGAGTGCTCCGACTGCTCCAAATGATAAAAGCGGCAGTGGTGTAAGACTCGTCTCCTGTTGGCTTTGATGTATCTTCATGGCACAGGTCTTATTCTGTCATGGTCCTATTGAGGGGATGGAGAAGACAAGACCCAAACAGGTTAATTGAGGATGTGGACAGTGTTTTTTGTGAAGACAGAACAAACGCAGCATGGGACTGACTGAATGACTGGCTGGGACACAGCGGGATTGACATTGAGGGTTTAAATACAGCCCCCAACAGGGAACTAAGATCAACAGTCCACAGCCTACGCAGGTGACCTTGAGGAATAGGGAAGAGAGTCAGTTCGTTCTCATTATCATGTCTCCTGGAAGAATGTTGTTGTTTTCCTCGGCGTCAACCTTCACGCAGCTGGCGCCATCGGGGGTGGGGGTATAGCCGCATTAGAGATGGAGGTAACTGGTTTAGGTCGAACGAACTGCATCCATTTTACACTCGTTCTAATGTCCATCACTGGTCTCCAGATGTATCTCTCTTTTAAGAGCGTTGAGCTTCTCCAAGATCTTTCCCATATTTCATTCAGTAAGAACAGTCTGAGCACTCACTGCTCGTCCCACAGTTTCGATCAGAGTGGCTAGCCTTGTGGGGTTTTGAATAGCAGTCACAGCTTTCTTCAATTTCTGATAAGACAGGGCCAAGCCAGCTCCAAACAACAAGAACCTTGTTACCATGGTTCTGAATAGGTAGATGTCTTCAATGTCTTCGATGACGCTACCACCCTTCCATCGTGTATCCAGCAGGGAACGTCCTTCCGGGACACTCGGGCTCTCCCGAACCCAGGCTTCTGGTCGAGAATAGCGTGTCATTTGCATTAAGGGACCAGTTTATCAAATCCATAGTTCTTCTTTAGTTTTAGAGAACAAGAGCCAGAATGAGAGGCTCTCTCAGGGTTAGAGTCAGACAAGACAACGACATAGAAGCAGCAGCAGGGAAGCTAAGGGAAGGAGAGGGTGAAAGATGCGTCTGCCTACTCCAAGAGCCAGAAGAGAAGGGGGAGTTCAACTCCAGTGTGTGTGGGATGTGATGCTCCTCAGCCTCACCAGCTGTTGCCTATACGTCAGGAAGCTGGTGACCCACTGACAGGTGTTGGCAAGGATAGTGAACTGAAGAAGGTAATTGACGAAAGAGGTAAGTGACGGAAGTGACGGACAAGGTAAGCGACGCTGTCGTCAAAAAGACTTCGCCCGGCAGATTCCCCCGGCACAACATCGCCAGCCGGCAAAGATATTGTCGACATACTGGAGTCAATCGACCAACGATTGTCCAGTTTCAATGCAAGGCTGTCCTTGGTGGAGATTCTTCACCGCGAATTTAAATCCTTGCGAGAATCCCTGGAGTTCAGCCGGCAGCAGGTGGAAACGCTCGCTGCTGAAAATGCCATGCTAAGGGAGTCGGTGAAATGTCTCACAGACAATGTTACCCAGCTAAATAGAGAAAATAAAAAAATAAAAGAAACAGTTATTGATCTACAAGCTTGTGGCATGCGTGATAATCTCGTATTTTCTGGTATTCCAGAAGCTGCTGGAGAAGACGCGGAGACTACGGTAAAAAGCTTAATCAAAACCCACTTGAAGCTGCCGGAGAACACGGTGAAGAACATCGCCTTTGATAGGGTGCATCGCATCGGCCCCATGCAGGGCTGCGACCGGGAGACCACGTCCTATTGTGGCCAAATTCGGCCACTTCAAACAAAAGGAACAGGTGAAAAGCAGGGAATTAAAAGGAACGGACTTCAGCGTGAATGACCAGTTCCCCAAAGAGATCCTGGAACGATGCAGGGTCCTCTTCCCAATCCAA